AAAGGAAAGAGGTTTAGTTGACTCACAGTTCTGCATGGCTGGGGAGGCCTCAGGAAACTTAGAATCATGGCGGAAGGGGAAGTAGGTATGTCTTACAGGCCAGCAGGAGAGAGAGGAGAAAGCAAAACCATCAGATCTCTTGAGAACTCAGCCACTTTCACAAGAACAGCATGGGGGAAACCGCCCCCATGATCCAATCACTGCCCTCCTTCAACACTTGGGGATTTATGGGTCCACCACTCCACACGTGAGGATTACAATTCGAGATGAGATTTGAGTGGGGACACAAAGCCAAACCATATCAGTTGTACAAAGAGGTGGAAAAATAACAATTACCTCTAAAGTGCAATACAGAAACAAAAGGCTACTTTGTGATATTAGAATATTAAAAACACATAAATATGTCAAAGGTTTATGTAACTCATTTATGAGAAAACAAGCAGGTAAAACTAGTTTAAAGGAGGATACAGTGAACTTAATTATACATGTACATTTTTTTCTGTAAATTCATTTCAAGAAAAGGTGTTAATCTAACTGCAATCTTATTCCAATATACTTCCTTTTCTTGAAAATGGAAAAATGTTTTTGATTTTTTAACAGAACCTTTCATTTGATGGTAGCTATCCTTCATTAAGCAACCACTACATGACAAATATTTTGCTAGGCTGTACGTGTAAAATATGTAATCCCTACAAACATATGATGTGGGCATTTTATTCCCCATGTTATAGGAGGAAGGAGTGAGAAACAAGCTAAATGACTTGACTAAGTTCACACTGATGGCAAAGTGTGATGAAATCTCAGAATCTGTGTTCCCAGCACCATAGTTAAATAGATTGGTCTTTCCTTAAAACCCTGCCTCCCTCTCCTATCAAAACCTACAGCCCTGGTGGACAGATCTAGTCCAGCCCCTGACTCTGTCTTATTGAATTGTTTCTGGATATGATTTTTATGAACAGAGTGTATCCTAAAGCACTGCACGTGCTTATAGATTGTTAAGTGTGTGTTCTTCGGTTCCTTTGCTCGTTCATTCATTCATTCATTCATCAATCATTCACTTGTTTGGCATGTATTTATTGGGTGCTTATTCTATGCCCAGCATTGTGCAAGAGCTAGGGAATTGAGACTGAAAACACATAGCTTGGAGATAGACATGGAAACAAACACGATAGCATACCCACAGTTGTAATGAAGGTACAGAGCCTACATCTGTGAGTCAGGGCCCTGCAGATATGAGATAGTGCTTGAGTCGAGACATAAAGCATGACCTAGAAGAGCATGGCATTGCAATCAGAGGCAAAATAATTTGGTAGGAGCATATGGCATATTCAAGGGAGCCACAGTAGGTTCAGCAGATGCTGCAGATGGGGCAGGAGATGAGAGAGCTGGCAGAGGGATCAGGAACGAGATCATCAGACACCCTGTATATCCTGCTGAAGAGTGTATGTTTTATCCTGAGGTATAAGAAAAAGCTTTAATGAAACATGTCAATCCTTCCCATGTAGAATTTACATAACTAGGTGGCAGAAACCACGTCTTCTACTTTTTAAGGATATTATCCCTTAAGATGCCAAGTAATATTACTTATGTAGTGGAGTTTCAGTAATGCTTGTTGAGTGGGGATGTATAATCTCCTAGTATGCATTTGTTTAGCAGGTGCTCAGAGAGCTAACACAATAACATACTCTATCATGTTTCAAATGTTCTTTAACTTTCCCCTTTATCTAGTCAGTCTCAAACACTGAAAGGTAGTGAGCTGGAAAGATGTGTCTGAAAAGCTTACTGATTCCCAACAGTGTGTGGAGTTATCAGAAATTACCGCACGTGCAACAACCTCTGCTCAGGAAGTTTACCTCCTGTGATGAATTTGATCTTCACCCCATAAATTCAATCTGCTGACTTGCTTCTTTTCTTTCTTTCTTTTTTCTTTTTTTTTTTTTTTCCTGGCTCTAGTTTTGGAACTTCTTTACAAAGTGAGAATTACTTAAAAAAAAAAAAAAAAAAGAAAGAAAGAAGCAGGGGAAATTTGGGGACCAAGTTCCTTATTTCATGTTTCCTAATGAAACCTGATACTTGTAAAATTTTGTTTAGTTATGCACTCATCTGAAGAAACACGTGCATTTTCTTTTTTGCGTGTTTTAGTTTAGGTTGTCTCAGAATTCCCTCAGTGCCAGTCCTCCAGCAGGCTGAGGCATTGCTTCAAGTTACTCCCATTCCATCTTCTCTGCAGGTACCTACACCCTGCCAAAGGTAGCATATGACATCCTGATTCAGGAGACAAAAGAAGATGAGTACAATGTTGATAATGGTTTCTGATTCATTCCCCCCTCCCTTCCTGTTACCCCTAACTGTGGAGATTAAAAATGAGGGATTTGCTTCTTTGGAGTGAATGAATATAAAAATACCTTCTTATTTTCAGTGTGGTCCCTCATCTTGGAGCTCATTATTTCTTTAAACATGCCTAAATGTGGCTTGGTAATTTCACCTTCTTATGCTACTTAAATACAAGTGATAAGGTGCCTTGGGGGCTCTTGAGTGTTTGATCCCAAGCTTTCATGTCACTTCTGCCTCTCCTTGAACTTCTAGGAGATAAAAGAAAACCAGCTGTTTTCTTGTTAAAGATCAAGGTAATCAGGATGGCGATTCAGGACACAACCATGATCGCTGCAGGGAAAAGGAGGTCATGTGATGTTTTTCTACGAGGCATAGTGTGGCAGAGTTATGTAGCTGTCAGAAAAGGTATTTTGTTTCATGCCTATTTGTGATTTCTTTGTTGTTGTTGCCAGTTTGAAATTCCTGGAATCATCTTCAGTAAACTGAATGAGGCTGTTCTTAGTGGTGCTTTCCAATGGCAAGAGAATAGTTAGTATTTCAGATGCTTACGAGGTTTCTGAACTATTCTTCACAAACATTTGCCTTACTCTTTTTCCTTACAGTTATGCTGTGAGGTAGATGATACTGTTCCCATGTTACAGATAAGAAAACTGAGAGACAAGAAGCGTAAGTAACTTGCTGATATGGTTTGGCTGTGTCTCCACCCAAATCTCATCTCAAATTGTAGCTCCCACAGTTCCCATGTGTTTTGGGAGGGACCCAGTGGGAGGTAATTGAATCATGGGGGCGAGTCTTCCCATGCTGTTCTCATGACAGTTAATAAGTCTCGTGAAATCTGATGGCTTTATAAATGGGATTTTCCCTGCACAAGTTTTCTCTTGCCTGCCACCACACAGATATGCCTTTCACTTTCCGCCATGATTGTGAGGCCTCCTCAGCCACGTGGAACTGTGAGTCCATTAAACCTCTTTTTCTTTATAAATTACCCAGTCTCAGGTATGTCTTTATCAGCAGCATGAAAACGGACCAATAGACTTGCCAAGTTTATATTGCTCATCAGTGTTAGTGGAACTAAGATTTAAACCCAAGCAGTCACTGCCAGGACTAGGGTAAGGTAAGAGAGGTGCTCAGGGTACAAAATGTAAGGGATAATTCCCTCTTAATCTTGTGTAAGTATAGAATTCTCACCCAAGAATGAATGTTTCCTTATATTGCACCCTCATCCTGGGCTTGCAAACAACCTAGATTTGGAGCCTAGGTACTTAATCCTTATACATCCCACCTGCTTGGTCCTCACCCTCATGGATCAGTCAGCCTTTCGTTGCGTTGAACAGCCTGAGAGAGGGTGTGGAAGAGACCAGCAGAGACAGGAGTCCAAAGCAGGTGTCTTTCCTTGCTTTTAGCTGGGCATTTTCATGTGCCCTCCCTCTTCCTTCCACTATGTTTCCATCCTTCTCCAGTACAGAAAGGAAAAAAAAAAACTCTTCACTTGAGAAGTACATGTCTGTATCCCATAGAGAAATATTAGAATAGCATATTGGAGCATTGCGCATACTCAGGCCTAGCTACTCCAAAGAGCCTTATTTCTTTTTTCTTTTCTTTCCTTTTCTTTTTTTTTTTTTTTGAGAAGGAGTCTTGCTCTGTCACCCAGGCTGGAGTACAGTGGTGAGATCTCAGCTCACTGCAACCTCCACCTCCCAGGTTCACGACATTCTCCTGCCTCAGCCTCCCGAGTAGCTGGGACCACAGGTGCCCGCCACCACGCTTGGCTAATTTTGTGTGTGTGTGTTTTCAGTAGAGATGGGGTTTCACCGTGTCAGCCAGGATGGTCTCGATCTCCTGACCTCGTGATCTGCCCACTTCAACCTCCCAAAGTGCTGGTATTACAGGCATGAGCCACCCCAGTCAAAGAGCCTTATTTCTTATCACCAAGTCCAGACACACCCTGAGGTGTGTGGTGGAGTGGCCAATCATGCAGGATACATATCAATAAAGAGTCCCAGGGCTTAGAAAAGGGCCTTGTGAAGAGGAGTCAAACTGACTAAGAGAAAAGAAAAGGTGGAGGACAGTCCAGGATCCCAGGACGTCAGTGAAGATATCTATCCCTGCAAATATCCTGTACTCTCGAAAATCTTTTAATGTGCTGGGTAGGTTTTGAATGAGAATAAACTTTTCCAGTTAGCTGACAAATGACAAAACAGTCACTATATAATTAAGATAAAGAGGTCCTTCCACTGAGTCCTGTATAACCTGAGCTTTAGGAGGCCACTGGGATTGTGGACTGATAATACTGGAACTCTCTCTGGTACCCTTCAGTAGTGGATCAACCCTCCCCTTGACTCGGTGGACCATGGAAGAAACACCCATATGCTTTTATGGACATATGTGGAGAGCCAGCAGGAGCTACGGCCATGACTGGCATGAAGGAGAGGAAGTGATGGGTGTCTTGCAGTGTCACTGAACTTGGCAGCATCACTACGGGAAATTCCTGATAGTCCTTTTGGACAAACTTTTGACACTGAAATCTGGGCAGACTGGTTAATGATGGCTTCTTCTCTCTTATGGGCATCATGCCAACAGAACCATGTGGGGAGGACCATACCAAATCGGCAAGCCCAACAGTGCTCAGCTGAAGGGCACCTGGGTTGTGAGGGAGCATCACTTGCCTCTTTGATGAGGTTCATAAATCTGGGTCCAAGGCGCCATGGCTTATGTCGATGGCACTGTAGGGAGCTGACGGTCAGCTGGGATGCCCGGTGCGAGGCAATGGCCACCATGTACACAGCGTCGTACATCAGAGCCGCTTCAGTCTGTGGAGGAAAACACACACCACATCTTCAATTCCACCTTTGCTTACCTTCCTTTACCTGCGTAATCACTCTGTCTGCTTCCATAGCTCTTATCTATCTGATCTCAAAGGCCATTTATTGTTCAGCTAGGTAGTTTTCACTCTCCAACAGCTATTTTTCTCAAAAAATAATACCTCACACTTCGGAGTAAATTGAAGTCATAACTCTGCTTTGTTTCAAGTTCTTAAAAAAAAAATAAAGCACCCCAGATCAGCCACAAAAGACTTGATTCAAGGAACAAATATTTTGCAAAGTGTCTTCTATGTTAAGCCGGTGTTAAGATCAACTACTTGAGCTAGAAGCTACTAAAGCTCAAAGTTGCAATATCAGATTTGTTTCTCAGTATTTGTCTATAACTATTTATCTATCTACTTACTGGTTTATATTTGGTAGAAAGAAACTGCTGCAATCACTAACAGGTGATTTCCAGATAAGGAAACTGGTGTTGGTCACTTTCATTTACCAGAGTTAAGAAGGTCATAGTCATGGAATGAAACTCAACAGCAAGTTTTGGGAGACCCTCTGAAGAGCAGACACGTGCAACTGGCTCAGAACATGCCTCCTCTTGCCAGCACGTGCTTTCTTGAGACAGATTGAAACCAGTCAGTCATTCCTTTTAGGCGACTGGGCATCTCGTTCTTCCCTTCCTCATGAAATTCCTGTCACGTGCAAAATTTTACATAATACTTACAGCATTTTATAAAATATACTTCCCTGTGGTTTCCTTTAGGGAAAAAAAATCTTATAATACCCTTGCATTTCACTTGAGGGTTTCATTGCAACTTCAAATGCATTAGCTCATTTGAAATTCTCAACAAGTCTTCAAAATAAGCAGAAGAGATAAAGGTATTTATTATGTGAGAAAACTCACTTCAAGGTAGGATATTTGTGGAGGGGCACACACACACGTGCACACACACATGCGCACACACACAACACACACACAATCATAGTGAGAAATCCCAGAGATGTCGTTACTTCTGCTTATTATTTCTGGAGAGTAATAGGGATTATATACATAGCCAATCATTTTCAGAGTTAAACCTAGAATCTAGGTCATGGAATGAAAATTATCATATGGTTTTCCAAAATTGGTTGATACATTCAACATATACTACACATTGATTGCTCATGTCTTGGTGGAGGTGGAAAGCAAGGACCGGGTTACTATATCTCACAATTTTATCAGTCTTTGAGGCCATGGAATACCTCTACTTTGAATCCTTATTATTCTGTACAATCTTTATCATTGTATTTTCCATCTATTCATGGTCAGGGGTCTTTATGTCCATTTCTTAATAAGAATATTGGTTTTTTGAAGGCAGAAACTGCTCAAGTTTAAGTTAGCTTTGGTGGCTAACGTGGTTCCTGACATGGAAAGTTGTTTAAACATGTTCACTGAAGAAATTCATATTACTTAATCCCTTAAAATGAAATTTATTTTTGTGAGAACTGTATAATTGCAAGGCTTTAAGATGTAGTTTTAAGAAAAACGTTTCATTCATACTTATGTAATTGACATACAGACATTAGATTGGTGGTGGCAGTAATTTCTAAAGCATAAAAATGTTTTGATCATTTCAGTCCAAGACTCACACAATCCACTTTGTAGATGAGAAAACTAAGGCTCATGGAAATTGACCAATATAAGGCTACTCTGTAAGCAATTTCATGGCCAGGGTTTGAGCCTGCACATGCATGATTCTAGCACCCATGATCTTTACCACTTTGCTGTACTAATTCTGTTTAATTGGAGGAAAGTAAGCTACTGGCAGATTGAGACTTTTTGAAATGCAATCAATAACAATAGCTGACATTTATCGAGCACTTATGATATGTCGCATGCTGTTCTAAATCCCTTGCAAACTTTACATTTTCACTATAACCTTTATTCTTTTACAGATAAAGAAATAAAGATATTAAATGGGACCCCCAAACTCATGGGGGGACAGGCAATATTCAAACCCATGAAGTTGGTGCTAGAGTATATGCCCTTCCCCATAAAGCTGTGCTGCCTCTAAACCAAGTTATCAGTCTGATGATGTAATAGTCACAATAATAGTTCAATAAAGGTTAATATTCACTGATAATTTACTATGTGCCAGGCACTATCAGCATTTTACATAAGTCATCTTTTTTAATTGCTGAAATTAAACTTTTGAAATAGGTATGCAGATGGGGAAATTGAGGCTTGTAGAGGTAGAATAACGTGCCTAAAATTTTGTAGCCATTAAGGGAAGGAGTGAGAATTCTAATTTGGGATGCAAACTCAGATTTCAGCTCATGACCATAGCCGCATGCTATGATGACTTGGACTTTTTTTTATCAATAGGATATACTTTTTTGAAAATTTGTATCTGTATTCATTAATTCACTGAATGACCAATTTGATAGAGAAGTATAAGGACTGGAATTCTAATAATCTGATTTTTCCATAAACTTAGTGTAGAAAAGATGGACATTCTTTCTCAAGGCGGGGTCTATATTGGGAAGGGCAATAAAATGATTCAAAATTATAGGTCTAATCTGTGCCTTTCAACCCAAAGAAGAAAACTATTTATTCTAACAAATATGCTACCCCTTGAAATACAATGTTTTCTTAGATGGAGAAAATGTTTACATTAATTATATTATAGCACTAATATACTTCCACTGATTTTCCTCCCCCTTTAGTTTTGTGCTTGAGGCCTGCTTACTGAATGGCTGTCATCATTTTAGGTAATAGGTAATGTAATAGAAACTGGCTTATGTTTCAAATTTTCCTCTTCCAAATGTGTTTATGTTCACATTTTATATATATCTAAAGCCTGGATGAAATCACATTGCTCAATGACCCTAAGAAAATCTTTTTACCACAATCTGAACCATGAAATAAGCACATTGAAAGCATACTTCTCCCCCGTACACAATGTTTTGGTTATTACAATTTGCAGTAAAGGATTAACTCACTGGGCTTAGGGTACTCAGACTTTGCACATTCCAAAGAGAGGACCGGCCCCTTGACTGGCTCTTGAGAGATAACCTTCAACTCTTTGGAATACCCCAATAAGAACGTCATTATATTCTTGGGGTCCTGGGTAATGTCAGATACTTTATTTTAAAAATATGATTTATGATGAATGCCTATTTTTGTTGACCTAGGGCTCTGGGCCATGCTGTATCAATTTGATCTCCTGAAAGGCTGGATACTAAGTAACTAAGGCCAACTATATGGGAGCTCCATGCTTATGTGACCGATCATCCCAATAAAAAACCTGGACCCCAAGGCTTGGGTGAGTTTCTGTGGCTGGCAATACTTTCTACTTGTTGTCATAGATCATTGCTGAGGATTCAGTGCTGTCCATGCAACTCTGTTGGGAGAGGATACTTGGAAGTTGGTGCTTTTTCTGTGTGGACTCTCTGTCACTTTTTCCTTCGCTGATTTTACTCTGTCTTCTTTTGCTACAAATCTGTCATTGTGAGTACAACAGCTTTTCTGAGTTCTGTGAGTCCTGCTAGCAAATCGTCAAATCTGAAGATGGTCTTGAGGACTCCCAACATAAGCCAGTGAGATGCCACCTCATCGTAGAGATGAGGACTAACAACACTACGTGGCCTTAGAAAGTCCTCATACCTAGCTGTCTGCGTGGCACATAATTGTTGTTGGAAAAAGCAGGAGGAGATTGGGGTGCTGAAGAGAGACCCAATATTCAGAGATCAAATGGGCTGATCATACAGGGTCACACAGGTCCCAGATAAGGGTCCATCTTGGGCTATATGTGCAAGCTAAGGAATGTGTTTCTTGGAAACACGCAGATTCTGCTATGATATTTCAGAATCTCTCTTGTTTTATTTATTTATTTATTTATTTATTTATTTATTTATTTATTTATTTATTTTGAGATGGAGTCTTGATCTTATTGCCCAGGCTGGGGTGCAATGGCATAATCTCAGCTCACTATAACCTCTGCCTCCCTGGTTCAAGCGATTCTCCTGCCTCAGCCTCCCGAGTAGCTGGGGTTACAGGCACCCGCCACCACACCCAGATAATTTTTGTATTTTTAGTAGAGACAAGGTTTTGCCATGTTGACCAGGCTGGTCTTGAACTCCTGACCTCGTGATCCACCCGGCTCGGCCTCCCAAAGTGTTGGGCTTACAGGCATGAGCCACCATGCACAGCTTCTTGTTCTTTTATTGACTACAAATAGGCAAAACATCAGGTATCGAGTGAATTCAATTCTATGTACTAGAAGCTTCACATATGTGATCTAATTTAATCTGTAGAGTAACACTGTAAGGCGTTATTGTACAGATTTACAGATGAGCAGAGAACTGAGAGAGGTTAAATAACTTGCTCTGGTCACTTAGTTAGGAGACATAGCCAGGACTTAACCCTAGGCTTTCATTATCTGGGAAGATTTTGCTTTTTGTACTGAATCCAGCTGCCTATTTTCTTTCATTGCTTAAGTGGATGTACAAGGTGGGAACTCTAGCACATCTTCCCTATGGGTCATGATTAAGGGAAATGTTTACAGGCAAGAGAGCAGGATAAGGCTACTGACTTAACTTTATGTTGTGAGTGGATGTGAAGAACTGGAAAGGCAGATGTCAGATCAATGTTTGGTTGTTCCCCTGACTCTTGTGCAGTGTTGACTTACACACAATTTTGGTCCACTGAGAAGAACCCATTTAAGAATGAACCATTCTGTATTATCCCAGTCTGTCCAAAAGCTGAAAGGTTGAATCACCCCAATTGCTGAGAAAAAATTTAAAGATTATAAAAGAGAACAGAGTAGATTTATAAAATTCACTCCAAACTTCTGTTAATTTTGTCAATTAACACTTCAGTTGATAAAACACTCTTTTTTTCCTCAAGATATTTTTTAATAATGAGTTTTACTGTTTTTGAACTCGGTTGACTCAGTAACAATTTTCTTAACCTAATTTTAACCTAATTTTTAAACTAAATTTTTTTCTTTAATTAATTCTATTGTTCTTAAGTCTGGTGTCAAGATGTTTTGGATATGGGCATGACTGGCTTCTCTATTTTCAGATATGAATGTTTTGATATAATCATATTATTTGAGGATTTTTTAGTGTATGAAATTCTAAGAAATGCTTAATAGTTAAAAATATTAGAGAGAAAAATAGATAATTGAATGGGAAATCAAAATACATGCATTTTCCTTATGTTTTTTCTAATTCCTATATTCATCCATATACGTATGTACCACACACAAAACTATGACTATAAACAGCTACAGGGAAATTCACCTTGAATAATAGTGGAATGAAGCATGTGATTTCAGAGAATACAATTCTATTGTAGTAATGGCATTATTTAAACATTAAGAGTGGCCAGTCTGTGACTAATTTTTAAAAAACACTATTATTTTAAAGTAATCTCTATTTTACTAATCATGCACATTCACATATATCTTATTTATAGGAACTCTCTGTACTTTTATGGGACTATTTTCAGGGCTGCCTAAATTTTTTCATTTAACATCTTCAGTTTTAGTAGAAGCTTAATTCTTATTTAGTGCGTTAATTTCTTTATTAAATACACATTTATTGAAGGTGTACTTTGCGCTGGGCCTTTTCTAGTGCTGGGGAGAAAGCAGAGCACAAAAGCACAAAGCCTCTTTTTCATAAAAGATGCCTTTATGAAGTGTCTATTCTTGTAGGGGAAGGTACTAAACAAACAAATCAAAAATCAAAATATAACAAGTCAGGTCATAAGGGCTATGAAGAAAACAAAAATAGGTAAGAGGAAAGAGAGAAAAACCAGGGACGGGGCTACTGTATGCTTCCAGGCACGGGGGCAACAAGTGCTTGACATGCAAGAATGAATGAAGGGCAGGGTCTGCTATTTGGACCCAATGAAATTGAAACCAAAGGACTTTTTATCTTTAAGGTAGAGAAGAAAGAGTTTAAATAGAGGCAACTTGACAGCAAAGATTTGTTAGCATTGGGCCTGGGCTTGGGGTCGTAAGTTTGCTCTCTTGGCTTAGCTATTGGTCAAATGGATGTCCTTTCATGTCCTTCAATGCCCTTCACCTCCCATGACACAGTTTCCACATTCCCAAAGTAGCCACATCCAGGAGAAACAGAAAGAAAACAGTCAAGTGCAAAGCAGACTCTTTGGGTAAAGAAAGTAAGTATTACCCTTCACGTAATTTCAAAGTTATTATCTGCATGACTGTTGGATACAGCTCCTACTGGTGCCTGCATCCTATCACTTTTTTAAAAATTAGTATCGACACTACCTGATACATTGAATAGTTACTCTACCCACTTTTACAGCACCTCAGTGAGCTCTGGTGAATCCCCACTTTCCTTTTTATAGTTTATTATAATAATAAGTGTAAGAATACAGCCTAGAAACCCCTCTCTTAGTTGGGATGACAGTAAAAATCTTCAGGCAGACCAAGGCCTCTTCCATCCATTGGGACTCAACCTTGTCACACTTCCTGCCCCTGGGATCACTGTTAGCCCAGGACACTGGCCGCAACTCTGGGGTGGCAGCATCACCTCATGCTTGGCCTGATTCCACATGAATTGCATAGGTCTGTCTCCTTCGTTCAACAATCTTCCTCATCTCAGTCAATATGAACGAACTGTTTTGTCAGCTCAGTGTAATTGAACACACGGACTTTTTTTCTTTGTAAATGAAGCCATACTTGTGATGAATATTTAATGCTTGGCCTAAGTCCACAATCTGTGTTAACATAGATTCAAACTGTAACTCTTTTAGTGGTATATCCCAAACACAGGTAAAAATGATTTGAGATCTCATCCTGTGATGGAAACTTCATTGGAAGAGTGGGCAGAGGATTTTGAACCATATTTGAACTCACTGAAATTATAAACCCAAGAGGAGTAAGAGAAAAACCGATCTATTAGCATGCATCTCCCTCTGTCTCTGGTGTTCCCTCTCCCTTTCAGAAGTCTAGTATCGCCCTGGATATTCTCTACTTGCTCCTATTCAAAGAAATGTTTCAAATCATCCCAGGGCTCGTTTGTACCAAGATGCTTTCCATCATTGTCTCTCAGTTCACTTTGAATATTTTAAAAGTTATTTGAGGTTTGAAAAACAGTTAGGGAGCCTGAACATGGAATCATCCAGAGCCGCTTCATTCATTCATTTCTTCCTTCATTTTCATTTGTTCTTCATAAGAAGGGGGAAAAAAATCCCAAGTTCTCTGTGAGATGATGGGTAAATTGCATCTTAGAAGCAAGAGTGCATCTCCCAATGATAGGAATGGATAATAAAATCCTATGCCAATTTAAAATGCTATTACCTGCCTGCGTTCCACAGTATCTTTCCCCTTAGATGCCTCCCACATAGGAAGCATTTTAAAAAAAATTATTTCTTGCTATTTTCTTCAGCACCCAGGGAGCTTCATTAGAGAAATAAAGTGAAGGTAGGTGCATTTGACAAGAGACAAATGATGTGAGGGAGAAGCTCTCTGATGAGGCAGTTTGCAGTTTATCTGTTCAGCAGAGTATCTCTGACTTGTCAGGAGGCAGGTCTGGCATCTGCTTCAAGAGCGACATATGGCTGGTGTTAAACACTGTCAGTTCTGCAGAGGTGAGCCTATACACATCCAGGACAGGAAGAGCTGAATATACCAACTGTTTGTAGATCCGGCATTTTTCCACATTGGCTCTGCTTACTGAAATGTGGCAGAAGTGAGGAACACAAACCGGTTCTACAAAACTCACAGGTACGTTGTTCCTCCTCTTCCCCAACCAGCCACCTTCCCCACGGCAACATTCCTACAATAAAATGCTCTTCAACTCGTCCTTGCACTGGTTTGGCTGATAATGGTGGCTACTCTTGTCAAGTTTTTTATCTGGGGCAAGTACATCCAGGAAGCTAAAAATAGCAGTTTTTGCTAGTAGCCAGTCACAGCCTTTCAAATTACCTAAAAAGCAAACTCTTTCTTCTCTCCTGCAAGTCAAGGCACCCACTGTAACACTTTTCTTTAACATTTTAAAGACACGTGTGATCTTAACCCCGAAGGAATTCAAATATTCTCACGAGTGATTTTATTTGCAAGTGACTTACTGTCATCATGCCATCCAAAAGGCCAGTCTCAGGCCTGGGTGGGGCCTGCAGTCTCTCCATGGACCACTTCTCAATGATGGACGACACGTGAGGGTTGTCAATGTTAAGCAGCCGAAACCCGGTCATGTTTACGCCACTGTACCTATAGAGCTCCAGATCCAAAGCAAATAAGTCCTGCATGGTATCAAAAAGGATAAAGTGGAAAAGAATTAGCATTTCCATGTTTTTATGCGAAAGAAAATTAATGCTTGTAGCAGCAACTAATACAGTGATACTTCTTATCTGTGGTTTTGTGGTTCATGGTTTCAGTTACCTGCGGTCAACCGCAGTTGGAACATGTTAAGTGGAAAACTTCAGAAATAAGCAATTCGTAATTTTAAAATTGCACACCATTCTGAGTAGCTTGAGGAAATCTTGAGTTGTCCCATGCTGTCCTGCCTGGGATATGAATTATTCCTTTGTCCAGAGTCTCCATACTACAGATGCCACCTGCTCATCAGTCCCTTCATAGTTGTCTCAGTTACGAGGTTGGCTATTGTGGTATGGAAGTACTTTGGTAAGTCAACCTTACACTTCATAATGGTCCCAGTCTGCAAGAGCATTGTGCCTAATTTATAAATTAAGCTTTATCCTAAGTATGCATATATAAGAAAAACATAATCTATACGGGGTTTGGCACCATACTAGATTTCAGGCATCTCTTGGAGGTCTTAGAACATGTACCCATTGGATAAAGGGGAGCTGCTATAGATTAAAACAAAATGGCAGCCATACCACACTATTTCAATAAAAGAACATCTTTCCCATTGTTTTTCATTCACATGCTGCCCTAAAACTTCTAGGGCAGTCATCAGTTTTCATTTTCATCTGTTTTATTTTTGCCGTACTGTTAGAATTTGGATAAGTCAAGATGAGGAATTTGGCTGTTGATAATTAGTAGGTCCTTGGTCACAGGCTGTGACATTCTAAAAAGCTAAGAATTCTGTTCCCAGTTTATAGCCTTTGGGGTATTGGAAAAAATACTTATTCCCATTTGGTTCAGTGCTTTTATTTTACATATGAAGAAACTGAGGTTCTGAGTGGTGATGTGACCAGGACAAGAATAAACCACTGGCAGTACCCACTCTTCTCCATCAAATCTTGCACTGCAGGCTATTCCAGGTCTTGCCACAAAGGTGAAATTTGAAAACTGCATATGCGTTTGGCAGGAAAATCACTCCTGGCAGAAAAAATATCACCTCCTGGCTTGTTGAAAAGAACACATCTCTCACACAATGAGGGCATGAAGAATGTTCACTGAACATAGGCTCAGAATAGGAACCAAAAGATTCTCTTCAGAGGATATGTTAGAGTACAAGGCTGCATGGATGCAAGAACATCTTAATAAGGGAACCCATTCCCTTTCAGACAATGTTTCAGGAAAAAGAAGGTGAACTCATCCTAGTGTTTTCTATTACAATTTTTCTATTACAGACGAGGCTGGGTGCAAACCAGAAGTTTCTTAATTGATTCACATTTAAGACAGGCTTATGTAATAATTTCAACTTTTTTCTTATATGGAAAGACTAGATTAAAAAATATATCATTAAAATATATCACATTTCAGAAGAAACGCAACTTTCAAAATAACATTTAACAGGAAAAATACTTCCATAAAAGTTTCTTAACAATGTAACCGGTTTCTGAAAGTGCAATGCAAGACAGGACATTATTCGTGATGATTATGGGTACTGAAGAGCAGCAGATTCAGAAACACTTCGCGATTTGCATTTGCGGAAGATGCATACAAATTTATTCTTTTGATGAACTCTCTCTTTCCCAAGATATATTTGGGTGAGGCAGTAGAACTATAAAAGCACAGCTCTGTGCTCCTAGATCAACATCAGAAAGGTGTACAATACTGCCTTTTAAAGCATTATATATTGTTTTCCTTAACACTAAGTAACTTTTTTTTTTCTTTAACTTTTATTAATACTCATGGGCAAGAATGGTAAGAACATAAAAGCCAACCAGGACAGAGTGCAGATAAAATCAGAGGAAAAGGATGAAAGAAGCAAAGTTAAAGAAGACGACCCAGGAAAAAATGAGTCCATTAGTACACTCAGTGGATAGAAAGACAGTTAACTCCAGTCTCAGGAGGTAAGACAGAAACTTCGAGAATACACATGAACCCCCTCAGAGAATCAATATTACATGAATTTAACATGCTAAAATAAAGCACGTTAAACATGTGCAAAATTAGGTTGTCCTACAATTTAGGATTTCCATGCAACAAAGAATGTCGGAAGTCCAAAATCCAATTTGCTACATCCCCTTGTGCATGCAGAATGAGTGTTAGGGGTGAAAAGGAATAAAAGCGCACTCTTATTCATCCTCTATGGTCTCCTAGCCTTGTTAGATTCCATTGTTGGTATTCCTTCTCAAATTTCTCCCACACCAGCTCTTCCAGGGTGTGTACACCTGGAGGGGGTGGAAAGTTCCGAGGCAGATGGCCATGTCACCTTGAGTAACCCTCAGGTGTTCTTGGTGATGGGAAGAACCATACTTGTGAGCAGAGTAAGACACTTTGCAGTTCCCAAGTTTTCCCTCAGCTGTTCTCAAAGATGACATGATCAAAAAGCAGGAAGAGGCAGATGGGAAGACGATGCAAACCTTAGTTCAGGCATTTCTACCCTGTACCCACTTCCACCCTATGCTCAGTAGCAGTAATGATTTTGACAACTATCCCAAAGCATTCATTTCATGGTGTCCTCTGCACTCTCAAAGATAGCTGAGTCAGAAATAGAATTTACTACTTTGGGTCCTTATTCTAAATTCTTTGAATTCCTCTACTCACTAGCTTGGCAGTTGAATTTGCTAAAATGATACTGTTACTGAGTCCCCCAGAATCCAGGTCGAATTTAGCTGATACACTCTTACAGATTAGAAAATGAGCTTGATTCTGTTTTTCTTCTCATGTAAGAAAGTGGAGTGCGTGGGTGTGTAGGTGGGGAGGTGGGGGCTGTCACTGATTTCTGAAATTGACTGAATGAAAATTATCACATCGTTTTGATGTGTTAAATACCCTAAATCATTCTCCATGATCAGATAGTCTCTCAAAATTTAAGATGTCCTATGGTTTCTTTTGGCTTTGTAAGGTTTAGGACCATGATTTTTCTTAATGGTGCATAATTTTCATTGTGCAGAGCATCTCCAAAACTCCCCTTTTTGAAGGTTTTTGAAACATCTGACAGGTAACCCCTGGCTAACCCAGCTATCTACTGGACACAGGCAGGAAAGCCACATCAAATCAATGAATGCCAGACACACTTGGATGCACCTTCTAATGTATATAAAAACTGTAGATGATGCTTTTTTATGAATAGTTTTTACTTTAATAGTTCCTATTTAATGGAATTTTCATTTTAATCCCTTTCTGAATGCACATGCATTGATACAAGTTAAAAAAAGAAAGAAAGAAAGAAGCCTGCTGCTCAGCGTTGCTGGATTTAGAGGATTCTTAGGAAAGTAAGGCAGGTCTCCATGACAATATCCTGCCTTTGACACTGGTGAGGCTGACTCTGAAATAACTGTGTGAAGACCTACCATGTGGAATACATTTCTCCCAGATGCACTTACCAGGGTTGTGAAAAAGTAGTGATAGTACTCGGTCATCATGCCCATGAACAGAATCTGCAAAAGAGAAATAAGGGGAAAGAATCAGGAACAGAATTACAATAAGAATGGGATAATTTCTAGGGTGACTACAAATGCTTGGGAACACAGAACAGGAAGGGACTTTAGAAATCCACAAACTCAGCAGATCAGAAACCTGAGGCCAATGAGTGGCTGGTGTGGAGCGGGCCAACTGACCTCCAGCCAACACTATTTCCATTCCACGCTGCTTGACCTACATCAAAGTAATGGGTCTGATGATCAAATTTAAAAATAGTTTGGGCCAGGTGCATTGGCACAAGCCTTTAATCCCAGCACTTTGGGAGACCAAGGCAGGTGGATCACTTGAGGTCAGGAGTTCGAGACCAGCCTGACCATCATAGAGAAACCCTGTCTCTACTAAAAATACAAAATTAGCCGGGCTTGATGGCGCATGCTTGTAATCCCACCTACTCAGGAGGCTGAGGGAGGAGAATTGTTTGAACCCAGGAGGCAGAGGTTCCAGTGAGCCCAGATCTCGCCATTGCATTCCAGCCTGGGCAACAAGAGGGAAACTGCGTCTCAAAAAAAAAAAAAAAATTGTTTGTACTAAACAAATTTTGTATTTGGAATTGTCCATAATGCACAGGGTTTTGTCTTTCCCACTGCCTAAGTGTCTGAGCAATCTCATACTTAGAAATATGTATTTTATTGATCTCCCTAGCTTACAACTTAGCATAATGCCACCCTCATTATGAGTAGAACTCATTACATGTTGAATTGTCAGTAATGGCATGTAGATATGTTTAAATGAAGATTTATAAATGAGTATATCTCTGAAACCTTTCTCTCTCCCCCTTTTCCATGAGTAGATGAAGAGAGGATTCATTTATAGATAAAAGGACAGGGACTATTCTGACACCAATTTCACACTGTTTCTTCATGCTAATTCTCAAATAGCTAAATAGCTACTTGGATCGGGATAGTTCCAGACATTCTGTGAGTGTGCATATTGTTTTACTTTGTGAAATAAGGAAAAAAGGAGGTGGATAAGAAGGACAGAGGTTCTACGTTCATTAAACTGTGATCTTACTTTTAGAATCCCGGAAATGGTGTCAACTGAGAAGAAGTTGCAAATGGTTTAGAGATGATTCTTTCTACATATGAATAAGGATATCCCTTTCCTTGGATAGATCACCAAAACAACTATTTGGGTGCTTTGGGTGTTTTTTTTGTTTGTTTGGTTGGTTTTTTTTTGGTCTTTGCATAGAAATCATACAAATGAAGAGAGAAGATGTAGAAATCACATTTCCAAGGTAGTTTTCCCCACAACTCTGGTCAATTCCGGATGCAAGTAAAAATCCCCTCTGGAAGTTTTTATATCAAAGATTCTTAGACTCCATCACAGGGACATCCTGAATTACGATTTCTGAAAGTGTAGCCCGGATTTCTGCATTTCACAGCTGTGTTTGAAATCACTGCTCTATGGAAAACATGTACATTTGCATTAAATAACAAAGACTTTCAGATCTTCAGTTGAAGAGATGGATTGGAAAGGTCTGGGGAAAGGCACTGCAAGTTATCAGAGGTTCTGGAAGGTGCCTAAGATATGTGAACTAGAATGATTTTACATGAAAGGGCATAAGAAATAAAGAGGGTATTAGATGACAGCACATAACCGTATGAACACCAGTCCTACACTTCTCAACAACGTCTCTACTAACGTGAAAACCAGAGGAATATTTAGTGAAATTGTAATGTCATGAACATGAGACAAATGACAGGAAACTCTGTCCATGAATCATCAGCCCACAGGATGTAAGTCACTCCAATGGTGACAACAAGACCAGGCACACTAAAGGTTTTTTTTTTTTTAAGGGTAGACTTGCTTTAGTGCCATCAATAACATTTAAGGCCATGCATGGTGAGGTCTTGTTAGCTGTTCTCTTATATCATTTGAGCATAAAGAGCTGGCCTGCCAGGGTCAGTCAGAAATCCTATTTTTCACTTTGGTCATTAGATAGTGTAATTGCAGCCAAGATTACCTCTTGAAAGGGAACTGGGCAAGTTTTATGTGAAGATATAGAGCTGGATATTAAGGTTTAAAATTTTGTTTCTGAAACTGAAAATAGAACACAAAGGCATTTGTGTTTATAGCTTTTCACTTGGGTAAAATTTTTCTTTTTAAACTTCATTATGGAGGCTTTGGATCCCCTGTCAAGAGAGAAGCAGTTTTTTAAACAACCATTTAACTAATTATTTTTATTATTGCCTTTTAAAGTTCCTGGAGGTAAATATTCATTTGATATGCCTCTTAGTGTTAGAAAAGAGATATTAAAATGCAGCGAATAAACAGCCAACAGGCCGGCTGTTATTGCAAAAAGAACCCTGGGGTCCTCCAGGTACACATTTTATTTGCTGTAGTAGAAAAATCCCCGTTCCTTTTCCTAGCTACTTGCTTGTATTAGTGCCTCCTGGTTCTTCCCTTGAATTTACTAGAAATGGAAATTAAGAAACGAGTCCAGTCATTGATCATTGGCCTGTCAACTTTGTGAACACTCACCCAGGTGAATGAAAAACATCTTGATAAGAACAACAAATTCAATAGCACCAAAGGCAGTGCTTTTAAAGCAGTTGTTCTTGTGATGGTCTTTAAGCTGGTTGAGACCAGCAGCCCTGTCATATAATTGTAGCATACTTTATCAATAAAACGATTGCATTTCCATTTTGATTTTCTCTCTGCATGTTGGTATTTCAACTAAAAGTCATTAAGGGATTAAGAAAATGTCACATCAAAATAAATGTCGGTTTTAAAAACAAAAAGTATAATCACGATATGGGGAGTTTTCTAATAGTTCTTTGCAGAAATTACTTTTTCCCGAGAATGAGTAGCTTCTTCTAATTTTGATACGGTACTTGTCTGCCGACCTGACCAAGTGGTGCTGACCTAGGCAGTATGTATGCTTTATTAGGACAGTATTGCTAGGAACCATCTCTGGCTTTACTTAATTGTCACAATTAATTTTTTTTTTTTTTGGCACAAAACATATGTCACACACACTAAAAATGTAATGAAGGCAGCTATCAATACTGTTCATATGGATAGCATATTCCTCTGAATTGCTTCCATTAATATGTTGTTCTAATAAGACTCATTTCTTTTTTTTATTTTCATTTTATTTTTGAAACAGAATCTTACTCTGTCACCCCAGGCTAAAGTGCACTGGTACGATCTCAGCTCCCTGCAACCTCTGCCTCCTGGGTTCAAGTGATTCTCCTGTCTCAGCCTCCTGAATAGCTGGGATTACAGGCGTGCAACACCACACCCAGCTAATTTTTATATTTTTAGTAGAGATGGGGTTTTACCATGTTGGCCACGCTGGTTTCGAACTCCTGACCTCAAGTGATCCTTCTGCCTCAGCCTCCCTAAGTGCTGGGATCACAGGTGTGAGCCACTGCACCTGACCAAGGCTCATTTCTTAATGGATTTAATCTTATTAAACAACTTTTGACGTATCATTGACTTAGATTGACAGTTAAAAACAACCCAGCCCTTTTGTTAACATTATGTATCTAAAATAGGCAGGGTGTGGAATATCTATTGATTTTGGAAGATTCCTAGTGTGGATGTCATTAGTACTGTTTTTCCAGTTTTCCAACTCAAAGGGCACATACCAGGATTGCCTTTTCTAGTCCCTTGGGCTTGGGTAGGGGTATGTGCTGGTTCTAGCCAATGAAGTGGAGATGATTCTCACATATGTCACTCTCCAGAGATCTCAGTTCCCTAATATCACTAGCATTGTTATCAGTGCCGGAACAAGCTGTTCATTTCTGAATAAATACATTTTTCTGTTTCATGAATACTGCAAGTCAGGTAAATCGTCTTGTTTACAGCTTTGTTTTGATTGCTAGGAGGTTTAGGGTCAAAATTATGGGTCTTCCTTTGGCAACTAGTCAGGAGCACAGGGCATACATTTTTTGTGTGCTAATGTTATCCAGTTTTATGTCTTTGTTACCTAGTTTTCTCCTTTGTGCCAACTCTCCTCCCTTTTAAAAACATTTATTAGTTTGTTTCAAATATATTTTTCTAGGCAGCTCCAATTCTTTATAGAATAAAGATATTACAGACAAACAAATAATCATGATTGGGACAAGTCAAATAATTTTTCCCCATATAAACGGGTGGAATTCTTCAGATTTGATGTAGCTGAGTTGGGTTAGAGTAATGAAAAAAAGGTTTCCAACAAAACAGTTTTTCCCCCTAACTCCAATGATCACCATTGATAGTTAATTCTAATCTATATTGTTACAGAATTAATTATAAGAACTCAAAAGACATCAATACCAAAGGACTTAAGCTCCTGCATACTTAGGACCTTCCATTCTATCTAGATAACATAATCCTTAAATCAGGGGCAGGGGAGTGGCTTGTACCTATTGTAAATGCTTTCTCCGTATCATGCTACTCTACATGGAAATACCATAAGACTATTCCATTGTTTCAATAGCTACAAAATAATTACTGCTTTATTTTATTTCCAGTAAATGGGTCATCAGAAGGCAGAATAAAAACTCAATGCCGGCCAGGCGCGGTGGCTCACGCTTGTAATCCCAGCACCTTGAGAGGCCGGGGTGGGCAGATCACCTGAGGTCAGGAGTTCAAGACCAGCCTGACCAACATGGAGAAACCCTGTCTCTACTAAAAATAAAAAAATTAGTCGCGCGTGGTGGCACATGCCTGTAATCCCAGATACTCGGGAGGCTGAGGCAGGAGAATCACTTGGACCCAGTAGACGGAGGTTGCGGTGAGCCGAGATCAGGCCATTGTACTCTAGCCTGGGCAACAAGAGTGAAACTACATTTCAAACAACAACAACAACAACAAAACCTCAATGCCAGCTGGCTCTTGAAAGGACAATTCTAAGGCCCCATTGTTATCAATATATCCTGAGACACAGTCCTTGCTCACTGACAACAGTTATCCCTCATTGGTCCAGTTGCTTTCTGGAGTTTTTGCCACAGAACGCTCATGACCTTGT